GATAATCCTAAAAATCCACCAGTTACTATTTGCATGTTAATTATTGAAATGTGAAAGTAAAAGTTAATTTCTATAGAATTACAAAAATTGTAAACTTACAACCAAGATGATATGAAGATAATCCTAATCCTCCCAACTCTTTTGGTGTAATGAAAAGAGAGGTAAACATTCATCAAATAAGATTTGTTTCGATCCCAACATCAAGTAGAGGAAACATGTCAGCAATGGAATAGGAGATGATAACATTTCATGACTTTTGAAGTTGTTAAACTTATTCTTGAATTTCTGTAACATGGATTTCTTAACAATAATTGGCTCTTGATCTTGCTCTTCTTCTAGTTCATTATTTGATGATATTAATTTGGTTTTGGAAGTTTCCTTATCAATATTATCAACTATCTCTTTAGCAATAAACCTTCTATAATACCAGGTATTCTTATTGGCCTCCTCTAATTTCAAACAACCCAACACGAATGCAACTATGTAAAAGCAGAAAATGAAAAAACTTGGTAAAACGTAAGGGAATCGAATAACGAAATCTTGTATCCACTCTGGGAAGAGTATGATAAAATCGGGATATTGTTGATGTGGTCTCGAAAACAGACCACCCAACACTGGCCCAAGTACAGATGCCAAACCAAATGTAATACTGGTCAATGAGAATGCTCTTGCTTGATTGGTACTATCAGTGATTTCTCCCAAATAACTTTTAACAACTCCTAAATTACTAATTTCCAAGAAATTGAGTTCATTAAATAGTACAATAAATTCAAAGTGTGGAACAGTTAACATACCCATTCAATAAACCAAACAAAAATCTGCAACCACATGCCCACCACAACCATTTAGAAAACCCAAACATTAATCCGCAAATTGCACCAAAGAAAGTTCCAAAAAGTAAAACAGGTTTTCTTCCAATACTATCCGAAATAGTTCCCCAAAAGAATGAGCTAATGAACTGAGATAAAAAGTATGCAGATGCAACCAATCCCACATAATATCCATACTCTGTTGGATTCTCTGTCAGATTAAAATCAGAAATCATGAATGTAATATATGGCATGAGTGACGTATAACTCAAACTATCACACAAATAGATGAAAAAGACGACAAATTATTTACCCCATGGCAAGGGAGTAACCTTTTGTGGCGTCTTCTTTTCTTCCTTTTGAATTTCTTGTTCTTGTTCTTCTTCCTCAACAATATTCACTTCGGAAGATGATGCATCTTTGGTTTCTTGATCCTTTTCTTCATCAGCAACATCATTCACTTCTTCTAAGGCTGTTGTTCTCATCATTGGGGAATTATCTTCATCGTCCTTTAATTCCGCTGCTGATCTAATCGACTCCTAAAGGATCTTAAATTCTGGATTGTAACTGTAAATGTGTTATTACAACACAAAATATCCATTCTCCTCGTCTTCCTTTCACAGGTCATTCTAACTTTCATAAATGAGATGAACCTCAACAAAGACATGTCAGAT